CGCCACAGACCCACAATCATTCTCCCCTATACTCCCCTATACTCACACACTGCCCCCCATACACACACACTATCCCTCACACATACCATTGGTTTTTATTTCTCGCTGACGCAGGTCCGTGAAATATTTCTCCTCTTTTCGCCGGGCCGCAGGTGCTAAAAGGTTGCAAAACACTGGCATAGAAGACTTTCCATTTTTAAAGTTTATGTTCGGCATCATTGCTCACAGTACGCTTATGCTGAATGTGGTTAAGGCTTCTTTGGTTTTTATTATATGTATTGGTGCTGATGTACTGTGGTCGTTGCTGCCGCCCAGGAGTGATGGGAGTGAGCGCAGGACTTTTCTTTTTGTATTCTTATAGAGAAGCATTGGATTCAATGCTCTCTTACGAGAAGCATCACATTTGCAGAGCACAGAGATTGTTGCGCATGTGCTTTAGGCCTCCCAGTGCTTCTCTGTAAGAAGCACTGAACTGGATCAGACATCACCATAACTAATGATCTCATCGTAGGAGGAATGTATTGTCGAGAGAAGTCAAAACAGTAGCGGAGTGGCTACCTCTCCTCCGCCCGGTCTCTGGTAGGCCGCAAAGTCTTGAGTCATGGTTTCCAGTGGCATAGAAACCCGCGAGAGGTGTCCCAGCACCACCAGCAATTCAGGAACAAAAATTGTCGATTGCAAGGTGCCAGACGCGGGAGCACATGAACACATGTCTGGACTGCTCAGTAGCCAGGCTCCATCCCCAACTTTCAGTATTTGAATAATGATCCATGTTCAAGAAATTAGCAGCTCAGGTTAGGAGTTTTCTTAATTTTTTTTTTAATTGGATATAACTGCAGTTAAGACCTTGAGTAAATATGAAAGTGCATTATGATAGCACAAAAAAAAACCATTTCTTGTGACAGACTGCTTGGTGATCAGTATGCTAACCTGGCATCTTGACAGCATTACCATCAGACTGGAACTTTGACCAAGATGCTGTCTGACTACAGATTACACTAAGTGCGTGGTCTGTCACAAATACATCTAGCAAAGATGTAAACAGCACAGGCCCAACACCTCAGCTGCCACATAGGTTCTCCTAGCACGTCATACATTCAGCCTTAGCTGCCACAAAGATCTGAGACTCCTACAACATGGACAAGTCAGCTTTCATAGCTGCTCCCCACCTGCAGTTGCTAGCATTTCAAAAGAACTCACACAGAAAGTTGCCATAAACAGGAACGTCAAAATCAAGTTTTTTTTGTTACAATCTTTGTCAGTAAGATGTTTGATATATAATTTATTAACAATCCAGCTGGTATGTTGTAAATGTGTTTATATGATATCTGTTGTTTCCTTTCTGAACGTTTCACGTTGTGAATGCTTAGGGTCTATTTGTCTTGCTTTTTTGTTATACATAGTAACAATGAAACAGAACAGGTAATGAAAGATAAAAAAATATACCTTATCTTGCTTTAAATACCTGAAAACCATTGCACACAGCACTCCCCACTTAGGCCTTTAACCTCTCTACCTTCGCACTAATTCAGATCAGGTGATAGAAGGTGATACATGCCATATAAGATCTACGTTTGTGCATACTATTATGGCCACCACCCTTTTTGCTCACCAGTCGAAAACTCAGGCTCCTCACCCCAGCCCACGTCTCACTCTGCTGGGAAATGTAAGCATTCCGAGGATACCACTGTTCCACGTGTTTCGCTTTGATTTCCACTATCCCTGCGATCTATAATGCCTTACATGTCATACTGGGACTCTTCCAGAGAGCAAGCACAAGGGAATTTGCTGCTTTTAACATGTTCTCGTGATTGATTTCTTATATTTTGAAATGGGTAAAAGGGGAGATATGTAGAAAAGCATTTTCAAACTCGAACGGCGGTAGACTCTCAAACATTTCAGTCAAAACCCCCTTAACCACTTGCACCAAATGCCTCTCCAGCATCTATCTGATACTGTGGAGAAGATCCTATGCAGCCTCTCAGAATGAAAGTAATTTGTAATTAATTTCCTGGAATTGGAAGCTAAAAGAGCTTTTATGTTGGAATAGCAAAGCTTTCTCTCCCCCCAAAAGTCTCTCCCACTCCTGCTTGAATAGGGGTACCTCATCTTTATCTCCCTCCAGTAATTGTTGGTATACACCGGATACCAACCCCTTCCTGTGAGCACCTGCTTCACACACAGATCCTAAAACATCCGTCCCCTCTCCTCAAAATTAAGTTTTATAAATTTTCCCTCTCAAACATCAACACAGAGGTTATGATTTTATTTTGATATACAACACTTTTGATTGGTAGAGCCATAGGTTAAAATTACAGAGCTACGATCTACTCGCCAATACACGTAAACCAGTACATGAAGGTCAAAGTGCAATTAAGTGCAGGCAGACCCTTAGAATAGGAAAACACCCCATACTTAAAGGGACACTCCAGGCACCCAGACCACCTCTGCCCATTGGAGTGGTCTGGGTGCCAACTCCCGTTACCCTTAATCCTGCAAGTGTAATTATTGCAGTTTTCATAAACTGCAATAATTACATTGCAGGGTTAACTCCTCCTCTAGTGGCTGTCTACTAGACAGTCACTAGAAGGCACTTCCGGGATTCAAGCACAGGTTTTCTGTGCTATAGCATCGCTGGACGTCCTCACGCTCTGTGAGGACCTCCAGCGTCGCTAAAATCGCCATAGGAAAGCACTGAAAGCATTTTCAATGCTTTCCTATGGAGAGATTTAATGCACGTGCGCATTAGGTCTCCCCTGCCGGATGACTTGGTGACGGGGAGGAGGGTGGGCAGACCCAGAAGCAGCGCCGATTACTCTGTTTTGACCCCTTCAGCAACTGGAGGTGGGAGGGAGAGGGGACCTGCAGTGCCAGGAAAACTATTTGTCTTCCTGGCACTGGAGAGTCCCTTTAATAGACCAACACAAAACTTTGCATATACAAATTATATGAAATACAGGGTGCCAGTCACTGGTGTGATAATAAATAGTTACCACTTCAATAGGAGAATGATTCTCATATGTAAAATGAGAAAAAGAAAAAATCTTAGTATAGTACTTTAATGTAATGCAAATTATTAAACACACACACACAAAGTGGCACATATAAAATAAATGTGCAAAAAAGCTTATTTGCCATTTAGGGCACAGTCCCACTGTCTCGGTTAGACGAAGTCCTTCTCTACAGGATCATGGTGCAAAGGTACCAAAGGCCTGGCTTGTAAGACCCGTTCAACACGTTTCGTCTCTTCCTACTTTGTTAGGAGGTGGTTCCCTTCTGAATCTTTATAGTGGCCATGCATGCGCAAAATTGCCACCCACAACTACATACGTCATGACGCCAGAAAGTGCATGTGCAAAACCACGCTGGAATGCAAACTTTTTTTTTTTGTAATATGTGCATTTGGATCTCCAAACGTTTGCAATAAAACCGTTTGGATGTTCGGAATTTGCACACACAAAAAAAGTTTGCTTATAAAATCATTCACTTAAATAATAATAAAAAAATACCCAAGCCAGCTCTTGCATTTACAAATTCAACCATGCAGATTTAGGCTATAAAACCAGCTAAGATTCAGAAGTGAACCAGTTCATGAAGTCAGAAGAGACGAAACGCGTTGAGCAGAGGGTCTCACAAGACAGCCAGTGGTGGAAGAGTACGTGTATCAACCAAAAAAGACTTTGGGTCTTTTGCACCTTGATCCGGGAGAGATGGACTTCCTCTAACTGGCCATCTACTTGCCCCCTGATTATATTTATTTTATTTTAGACATGCAGATTACATCATGTAGTCTATATGCTGCAGGAAGTGAACAACCATTTTATATCTATTATGATTATAGATCAAGTTTTTTTGTTATGCCTTTGCATGAGGTAATGCATACTTTCAACAAGAGAGGTGATCGTGGAGAATTTTAGCTCTATACTTTGGCCTAACACAAACAAAACCTGACATTTTCGCTATGTTTGGACATTAGGTGCCTACGTAAAACTTCATGACAAAGGCTTATACCAATTCCTGCACATCTACATAGTTCTGGCAAGTCATCTGTCTTGAAAAAGGTTTATAACAAAAGATTTAAAAAATAAATAAATCTTTAGTTAAAGGACCACTCTAGGCACCCAAACCACTTCAGCTTAATGAAGTGGTCTGGGTGCCAGGTCCAGCTAGGCTTAACCCATTCTTTTATAAACATAGCAGTTTCCGAGAAACTGCTATGTTTATCAATGGGTTAAGTCTTCCCCCAAATCCTCTAGTGGCTGTCTCATTGACAGCCGCTAGAGGCGCTTGCGTGATTCTCACTGTGAAAATCACAGTGAGAGCACACAAGCGTCCATAAGAAAGCATTGATAATGCTTTCCTATGCGACCGGCTGAATGCATGCGCATTCAGCCGACGGGGAGGAACGGAGGAGTATCGGAGGCAGAGAGCTCCCCGCCTTGTGCTGGAAAAAGGTAAGTTTAAACCCCTTTCCCCCTTCCAGAGCCGGGCGGGAGGGGGATCCTGAGGGTGGGGGCACCCTCAGGGCACTATAGTGGTCCTTTAAACAAATAATGCTCTCTGTATTTACAGCATTGTTGTAATCTGTGCCGTATGTATCATAATCTGATTTCTATAACTAAAAATACAAAAACTAAATTTACCAGTATAAACATCCCCATTGATACATGGGGCGTAAATAAGCCTTTAATAGGTTAAGGGTACCAAGACTGTTTTTTACCTTCGTGACACACAATCCATCCACTAACAAGGAATTACCCAATCAAGATCTCAAGACTTTGATTTATTTTAATAATGGAATATTCTGCTCAAAGTAAATTTCAAATATAAGGCCAGAGTAGCTGACCTGAGGGCATAGCAGACTTAGAGAAAGTCTTTGATTTGGCTATTTTCAGCTGAAATTAATTTTGAACTAACCTTTAATTCCCACTTTAGTGAATAACCCTGTCTGTGTAGTTTGCCTAGCATGTTGTGCCAATATTTAATGTATATAAGAACGGTCACAAAAAAATAGTCCTTGTTTTATTCAATAGAAATGCAATTGATCTTTGTACAGGTTTGACAGAGGAAATTCTGTATACACTGTATACAAACTCATATTTTACCACATGAATATTAAACAAATGCATGGAACGCACACATTTTACAACAGAAAAGAAAGTAAGAATTTACACACACACAAAAAAACAAAAAACAAAAAAAGCTATTAACATGGTTAATATAGGGTTATAATAAGATAAAACAAAAAATACACACATATGCATCAAGTGTGCAGACAAGCACTTTCTAAACGGATATCAGTCTATTGATGCTTTTTTGTGGTTGGCAGGTATGCATTTAAAACATTTTGTTTGTGTGGTTGGAGGAATTCATGTTCCGTGCATCTATTTAGCTTCTACAAAAGGTAAACGTTTTGATAGGTTTGTGTATAAAAATGCTTCATTGTAAGTTACATTACACAGGGCAATTAAGTAATTAATCTCAATTAATCATCCTTAGCCATCCGACTGCTTGCTGAGCAAGCAGTGGATCATGGTGCCCTCCGCTGCACAGCACACTACATCAAGATAGCAGGTCACTATTGTGGACGTAGAAGACATAGCTGAAACAGGTCTAATTATTGGAATTCTAGATATTGAAATTGTATTGTCCAATGAGCCTCATAAGTGGTCTAAGTTTTAAATTGTTTTACAGTAATTTGGATATTGCAATGATAAATGTTCCAAATATTTGACTTTACAAAGCATGTCCAATCATTACAGCAAGGAAGCAAAGCATCTCAGCAAATGTGTGTGCTGATTGCACTGTACCATAGTGCTCTAAAAAACCCTTTACAAGACGTCACATGGAACACTGCCAGAGCACTTTATTCCAAAAGGCTGTTTTTGAAGCTTCCGTGATTTAGCTCCACATAATTCCCAAGGTAAACACTTGTTCAAGATACATGAATTATTGAAGTCTAAAATTGTTCACAGTGAAAACGGAGGCATAAATGAACACTGCTCCTTTCCACCAAATCACTGCATTCCAAACCACTGCTCCTGATCTGCCCATTGAGCAGCTTCACTGTCACTGCCCTCCAGGTCTCCTTCTTCTCCACTTCCTTCCATATCATCCACATCTTCTTCCTGAGTGGCATCTGTCGGACTCTCCTCTTTCTCCATTTTCTGCATTCCTTCCAAGGACTTCTGATCATTGGGATCCAAGCTAAGAAAAAAAAAAAACAAACAATGAAACCGCTAAAACAAGCAGGCATTAGAAGATATCGATTGATTAAAGTTCACTCATACACACTATTTAAAGGCTGTTAATGTAAAGGTCAAATACCAAATACCTTTCTGGCTTGCAAATAGTGAAATAAAGTGAATATTGGTTATCGGAGAGCATATGTTGCTACAGAAGCAAAACAAAAAGAACTTAAAAGTGGCTATGAAGGTTGTAAATGAGCCCTAGAATCATAGTCTGGCATTTCAGACAATAATTTAGGACAAAAATGTCTCAAATTAAATTTATCATTTAATATCAAGAATCCTTACTTTCTTTGCAAGAGTGTAATGCACAAACTAAAAAAGGGGGGATACTTTCTGCAGGGAGCTCCATGGAAGGAGGGCCAATTCTTGAAGACATCAAATAGAAGAAAATAAATATTCAGGCACACCTAGGATTCCTTCTAAAAGGTAGTCTTTTTTATTTCAAACAAGGAAGTGGAGACAACATTTCAGCTCCTCTCTTGATAAAGGCTCAGAGAGGAGCCAAAATGTTGTCTCCACTTCCTTGTTTCAAATAATAAAAAACCCAAAAAACAAAACTGCCTTTTAGAAGAAACCTCAGGTGTGCCTGGATATTTCCTTTTCTTCCAGTGATCCTTACTTTCTGAATATAGAATCAGAGAGAGGTTACAACACAGCATGTTTTCAATATTACATTGTTTTGGTGTCTGGTTTAGTCTTTTTCTTCATTTAAGTTTTACTGCCCTCATGGTAAAAAAGGAGTTGTGGAAATAGAGGCCCCATGCAAGCAACCAATGAGTTAAGGAGACCAGTGTGGAGGACTGACCTACATGATGCAAAGCTTACGGTTTCATGAGATGCTGTGACTGGCAGCCAAGTATGTTGTCAAGTCGTTTTCGTGACACTGTTTGCCCTGGTAACTAGTCAAACCGTTTACAAGCACCATAACTACAGTTTGCTGTTTGCACAGTCCTTCTAAAGCATGAGCATCAGAAACCATCTTCACAAGTCCCGTGAATAATGTTCTGTTAAAGGCAAAAGTACCTTAAGGCAATGCTATACTGATCCATGGCTTCTTGAAATTCATTCACAGCCACCAAGAAATCCCCCAACATGCGATGTAAGACACAGTCACTTTGGTTGGCGAGTGTATTCCTCAAAAGGGCAATACCTTCATCATACTTCTGTTCTCGACCTGAAACACAAAAAAAAAACATCACTGTGTCTCATAAGAGACAAAAAATGTCTCTGTGCTTAAAGATTAACTATTTTTGGGGACAGGTCTTTAAAGTTTACGTACAGATTCCTGTTCTGAAGGGAAATGCATTGATTGTTTGGTTATCATACTGAAATATGAATGGGATGTTTTTCTAGGCGGCTAAGGAAGGTGATTACTGTTACAGCACCCGAGAATGTCCAAGAAGGCAATTAGAAATGGTGGAGGTAGATAACCAAGAAATCTAAATTTAGCAAAAATCTTTATGTCACACTTAAGGATGATGATGATTATGACCCTAATTGGATATAGGGTGTAAAACGGGACTATGGGTAGAAAAGTGGGAGGGGTTTAAAAAGGAGATGCTAAATACTAATAATTTAGTAAATAGAAAGAGGAATATAATTGTCAACAAGACGAATCACCAAGTCACATTAAAAATTATTATTATTTTTTTTAAATGCTTTTCATACAGCAATGTTTTATTGTGCTTCCCCCATGTTTTATAGATTAGTGGAATATTTCTGTTCTGGTATATTATTGGTCTATTCTAAGGTCAGAGACACACATTTCCCCCGACAAAGACCAAATAGGTTTGAGCTGACTGACAGAGGTTTTCATGGAAAGATTAACCGATCTGTACAATAAATAAATTTTAAAATAAATAAATAAATAAATAAATAGATTAGGCTTATAGCTGCAGCCACATGCTACTAACTTGGTCAGCCATCATGGCCGCCCCCAGTTTTTTTATTCCTATCCTGCCTTCATCAACACGCAACTGACATACAAAGAACGGCTACAAACATGGCACCACTATTGTCTGTTTGTCCACTAGCCTATCCAGCCTCAGCATCCCACAGAGCTTAGAATTTGTAGTATAGGTCAACTTTGCATGCAGCGAACACATGTTGTGGGAAGGCCACCTTAAAGGATGAAGTAATCTGGAAGTAAGTATGCATATTTTGTTCACACTGTTCATACTGTATAGACTACATGCGTTCCTAAACAGTGATGTAGATTAGCTGGATAAAGATTTAGAAATTAGCTTCTCTCAAACCAAGTAAGGAACCTCAACATGAAAATCCAGTATTTTGAATACATTCAGTAACGGAAAACGAAAGATTCCATTTACAGTAGATGACTGCCAAGTTCATAAAACACAAAAGAACTTACTGAGCAGTTCTGATTTCTTCACCACTGCCTTTATATAATCAGGTCTTTGTAACAGTGCCTTGTCTAAAAGGGTTTTTGCTTTCTCTTGGGTTACAGGATCTTCCAGACACACTGTTGCCAGCAGAGTTAATGTCTGTGCATTGGCTCCTAAGGTTTTGTAGACATTGTTGGCCATCACCATGGCTTCCCGTACGCTATTGGATGCCAGGTAGCATTCAATTAGACCTTGGAACACAAGAACAAAGGCAAACTGTTAACAAGAGAACAATTTCATCATGGCAGACTGGTACACTGGCATTGGGACAGAGTACGGCATTACAAACTTGAATGAAAGAAAAAATTATATATGCAGAGCAGCTGCAGCTCTGAGCAAAGGCAGAATTAGAAATACGAAGACTATAAAATATGTATTATTGTAAGGTTCTAATTAAATACAGAAGACTTTTTCTTTTCTTTTTTTTTTAAACAGACTTTTTTTTTTTTAAAAAGAAATTCTCCAGTAAAAACCAAAACAACTTTTTTTTTTTTTTTTTAACTAAACAACTAAAATCCAGCTTTTCTGAACCTGTGCTGTCCAGAATCAAATAGCATGTGCCTTTTATCTTGATAAAAGGAAGCAAGGATAGTCCTAAAAATAAAATGCAACCAAATAATAGCACACATGTCCTAGAACAATTCAATCTAACAAGACACATTTGACATATGGGGACAGACCTGTCCAAACAAGCTTACCATTTAAAAAAAATATATAAATCATCTAGCCCAATGAGCGTTTGTTAACTTGAAATGGGTCAAGAGGAGGGCTGCTCCTTACCCTGAAAGAAAGAGAACTGGAAGACTGGTGGCGAAGGAGTGTACACCGGACATTTTTAAAAACCTATGGCCCCCTTGCAATCAATGCACTGCCCCAAACATCTACATATAAGTTGCCATAATCTTTTTGGACCTGTAGCATTTCCCAGCATGCTTGCTAAACCCTCAGACCATTTGGATATTGATTAAGGGATGATTACTATTTTTGTCCTTGTACAATTCATTTTTCTAATTCTAGACATAAAATCTTTAGATTTTGTGCAAAACCAGTTAATCTAAATCAAGAGAGAAAATATACAATATTTCCAATTTTTTAAATTTCTGCTTTAGTTACAAAATTATATTATGACATAACTTACCTTCACAGCAGTCCAAGCGGCAGGGAGCTAGCCTGATTGCTTCTCGAAAGTGGATGATTGCCTCTTGCACTCTCCCCATGTTTCTTAGAGCTGCCCCTTTCAGAAGCAAAGCTTGAACACTGTTACTGTTTAACTGAATAGCTTTAGCTCCCAAATATAGAGCTCTGGAATGTCTTTTGGTGTAAAAACTGTGGCAGCTTAAAAGAAGGGAAAGATTGCATTAGAAGGAAAAAAAAAAAAAAAAGGGTGCAACTACAGGGATACTAAAAGTGATAAAAAAAAAAAAAAAAAAGTCTCAATTCTGCAATATACTGTCATACATCATCTGCACATTTCAAGGAAGACTGTATAGTCTGCTACAGCAGCTCTGAAACCTTGTATTCACATTCTCCTAGAATGCAAAGATAGGAATTAACTGCAGAATTCTAACCCAAAATTTGCCATTTAACAATGACACAGTTTAAAACAGTTTTTATGCAAGTGTATGGGTTATGAGCCAAATTATCAACAAGTGTCCTAAGAAGAAAATGCTTAAAGCTTAAAATTGTTGCAGAGTTCCTTGGAGTATATGCAGTGCAGCCAACAGCAGATATCCTGTGTTGGAATGGGAACATGTAGGTTAGCATCTAAACATTGGGTGACATTAAAGACAACATGCCCGTACTACTAAATCCCTTTATTTTGTGAAGAAGATTTTAAATAGCCCTAACAGATTGAAAAAGCATAATAGAGCCCTATCTTTTTAAATAACTCCACAAGTGAAAGCAAATGATATCCTAAAAACATTTGTTAATATAGTCCTCACCCTGACACCACCCATGGCTCTGCATGTTGATCAGATATATTGAACAATCGGCAACCAAGATTCTCTACATCCTCCAGCCGCCCTTCTCTGGCCAGCAAATATCCATAAATATCCATTCCTAACAACAGGAAAATTAAAGTCAGGCAAGGGTAAAAACAAAACACCCGTCTCTTTCTACAAATCTTGCCAGTATTAAGGCCTTGGACTGCCCTTTTGGATGAGATCAGTCTGATATACAAATAGCAAACACTACCAAACATAATGAACATTTTTTAAATAAAAACAAAGGTTTCTATGGATGCGGTTCCTGCTTAGCTTGCAGGGAAACTAACCAAAAGAAAAGACACGTTACCTCCTTTCAGTATCAAAAAGATAAAACATTTATGATAAGAAATCAGCTAACATGTTTTTCCAAAAATGTTATTTATATTTTAAAATGTCCCTGTGACCTCATATATGTAGGAAGAACAATTAGAAATGTACACATAAGGATTGAACATATTAGAAATATAAAAAAAGGATTGGAGACGCATAGTGTTTCCAATCATTTTAATTTATATCACAACAAAGATCCAAAAAATATGTCCTTTTGTGCAATAAAAGCAATACATAGAGATTGGAGGGGGGGTGATTTTAATAAAAAGATTGGAGAAGAGGAGATGAAGTGCATCTACAATTTAAAGACATTAATTCCATATGGACTCAACCAAGATTTTGAGTTATGTCATTTCTTATAAATTGATTGATAGTTTTAATATATATTAGGATATTATAATATGAAAGGAGGAAAGAATAAGGACATAACTTTCCACTTTTATTTTACATAATGAAATCAAAAGTATGTTTTATATAGAATATTAGTAAGATATCCAATTATTATATTTATTTTATCACCTGTATATTCACTATGGCAACATTTGCATGGTCACTTCATGAAACATTCACTGTCTTTTTAAATTCACTCTTTTTAAAATTTACTGTTTTTTATATGCACTGTATTTATGAAATGAGCATGGTCACTTTAAGAACTGGGTGTTTAATTATATGGTTGTATTCTAGCAGAATTAATATGTCAAGAGGATGAATTGATATATGAATTTACTATGTTTTTATATAATTTATTATGCCCTTGTCCCTATGTATATGAGATTTTATGGTGTGGAGGGAGAAGAGGAAGAGGTTGGAACGCATGTCTGCGTTCCACCTAAGCGCCCTACCATACGAACAGAAGATGTTTGAAACATTGTAATGTGGAGGGAGATTGGAAAGAGGTTTGGAACGCATATTTGCGTCCCACTGAGGTGCCTCACTATGTGAACCGAAGGTAACAGAAGGAGTGGAACGCACCGTGCGTTCCACTCGGAGGAAAACCCGGAAGTGACGTCAGAATCCGGAAGCGACGTCACAATATCGGCGAGGCCGGAAGGGAGGAAACGGATGCAAATGGAGAACGCACGTATGCGTTCCACAGCAGAGTTTTACCGCGAAATACAAGATAATAAGGACTTATATAAGGACATTAACTGGACAAATCATTGAAAGCTGACTGAGGAAGCCACAATTGGCGAAACGCGTATTGGCTTACCATTTATTACTTACATTTTATTCTTCTATATTTTAATTAATATTTTATGTATATATTTTTACAATAAAGTAGTTTTTTTTCTATCCCATCCTCTGGATCCTCTTCTACTTATTGGAGACCATACCAGCTACAGAAGGGTTAAGGATCACCCCACAATAGATCCAGAAGCCATCTATACCAGAGCCAGGTTCCTTGGCTCTGATTTTGTGAGTGTTTCCTTGCACCTATTGCACTTTAATATATATTGTAAACAATCTACACTATTTTGTATATCTCTCTATCTCCGCAACAATATATTGGAGAAGAGGAGAGAACTAATATTGCTCCATCCATTGTGTTTGTATTGTATGTATTTTTTGTGTTGGTATAGGGGATACCACACGGGTGTTTGAGCTATTGTAGTCACCTACTGTGCCATTTTTGCATTTGTGATATACAAATAGACCTAAGTGGGTTCTGTTCTCAGTGTTCACTTTCACCTGGTTTTAGTTGTGTGTATTCACAAACGTGAATCTGGATGAATTTGGCAGATATCTGGATTACTGTGAACCTAACAAGTTCTATACAATATCTACTGTGAATAATAAAGCACAGCTGCAGTTCAAGGGATGCTATAAGAACCAAAACAACTTTAGCTTAATGCAGCAGTTTTGGTGTATAGATCATGACCCTGCAGTCTTACTGCCATTTAGGCGTTAAACCACTTTTGTTTCTGTTTATGCCGCCCTAGTCAAACTTCCCAATACGTGACTTGCAGACTTCCTAAACACTTCCTGTAAAGAGAGATCCAATGTTTAAACTTCCTTCTAGCATGTTCTGTTTAATTTAGAATAATATCTTATCTCCTGCTTGTTTAATAGAATTCTAGACAGTGCAGGAGCCACCAGAGTGTTTTTCCAAGTTTATTTTACAGTACAGGAGGTAAAATCTTCTAAACTAAGTTAACATCTGATTCACAATGAAACCATTTTTTATGCAGAGTCACATTTAGGGAAGGTATAGTTAGGGCTGCATAAACAGAAACAAAAGAAGTTGAACTCCTAAATGGCAGGTAATTGAGCAGTAAGGCTGCATGAGCATGATCTCTAAAGCCAAACAGTTTCATCAAGCTAAAGTTGTTGTGTCTAGTGTCATTTAATGGAGTTCAGCAGTAGAGTGGATAGTGGAAACGGAAATTACAGAAATAGATTCTATTAGTAAAATTTGAGGTTTAATGAAGAGAATTCAAAATTGTGTGCTAAACTGGCTTACCTTTGATGAGATATGGGTCCAGCATCTGAGCCTGTTCAAATTTCAGGATAGCATTTTTATTATCGCCCACTCTGAAATAGAGATCTGCCAAGCTCCCAAGAAGATCAACATTGTCCCTAAGTAAAGATTTCTTTTCTAGAGAACTGGGAAGAATGATTATTGCATTACAGTGAAACTCTCATCCACAAAACGATTTAAGGCATACAAATTTAACTCATACATTGTGTCAGTGAAATTGTGAGCAAATGCATGGATATACTGCAGAGAAATGTGTAATAGACAATACAAAATAATAAAATATAAAAACATACATCATACAGCTGTAAAAGAAGAAAGAATCGTATGTCTACTTTTAGGATATTGGAAAACCGTTTAGTACTGTATCATACAAGGTGGGTGTAGCTTTGTGTATACCCACCCTCTCGCAACCAAACAGAGTGAATACAGGAGGGTGGCCAAAATATGTCCTTTCTTCCTTCATTCCTTTCTTACAGTGGGCGAGTTTGTATCTGTGTGTGTGACAGTGTGCATGTATGTATAAGTATTTATTGGGTCTATGAGAACACTCCTGCATTCAAACTTAATCACTACTCTCAGACACTTGTATTCACACAAATGTCATACTAACAAAACCACACACTTACTTCTACATACACAGACACTGCACAAACACAACCATGCAAAAATGAACAGATGGCAAATCCTCGTGTGACAAAGCATTGTGGGATCTGTATAGCAAAAATAAAAAAATAAAAAGGCCCTGTCATAATTTAATAAAAAGATTGCAAAAGGGTGTAGTGGTTAGAGTGTGTAATTATTTGGCTAGCACAGTGATTTACTTTTTTTGACAGGGATACAATTATATGCAAGTTATTACATTGATGCCCAAAATTAAAATAGAATTGGCTCAGTAACTCATTCTAAAATTGGAACAGAATATGTTATACAGATTCAATACACTAAACAACCTATTGTGAGCGTTTGGCTTGGACTGGACTAATATGTGCTTGCTTCAACCAGTGGTAATAATAAAATTACACTAGGCCTAATTCCTGACCTTAAAGGAATACTATAGGGGGACAAACGTCTGCCAGGCCAATCAGCATCTCCTCATAGAGATGCATTAAATCAATGCATCTCTACAAGGAAAGTTCAGCATCTCCATGCAGAACATGGAGACGCTGTGCAGCATTGCCCCCGGAAGCACCTCCCGTGGCCATTTGGGAAGTGGCCACTGGAGGTGTTCTTAGGCTTTAATGTAAACACTGCATTCCCTATGAAAAGGGGGTGTTTGAATGACGATGCCTGCAATGACAGACTATACTCACCAATGAGCTAAGTGAAATAATTAGGCTTTAATGTAAACACTGCATTCCCTATGAAAAGGGGGTGTTTGAATGACGATGCCTGCAATGACAGACTATACTCACCAATGAGATAAGTGAAATAATCATATCATGACCAGGGCAAAAGCTCAATATGTTGCTAATTTCTGAACAGTTAGCTTTACGAACTGTATTTATAAAGCATCAACATGGGAGAGGGGGCAGATATGTGCATATACGGATAGTGCAAAAGGAAAAAGAGGTCCCTGTCGTGAGCATAGGCCTATCATTTACAGCACTTTTACACAAACTACATCAACAGGGTGCTTGCAATCTAAATGTTACGGTGGGAATCTTTGAGTACCATGTATAATTTGTCAGGGGATTCTCCTTACCAGATGGTGTTAATAGCCCTTGTGTTATCTCCAGTGTGTACGAAAGCATATGCTTTGATCCATGCAGAAAGCCAATCCAGGTTGGGAATGCTCTGAATGACATTGAGGGTCATGGATGCCACTTCTGCACCTTTCACAGACAGCGACAATAAGCCTGAAAAGAAACAAAGACAAAGACTTCATCATATTCTGACATTATCTAACAGGAAAACCAAAAATTAAAAGCACATTAGTTCTTCCGCACAAGAAAATTGAGCGAGAGGCTTAAATCTACTTGATCTACTCTCAGCACATAAAAATGGTGACACTGAATGCCTCCGATTTAAGTACTTTAGAGTGCTTGTTTCTCTCACTATTGGATTACACTGCAATCATGTTACAATAAGAAGTAAAAAAATTAAATACCAGCTGCTAGGACCAAATACTCCGCTTTTCTTTGAACGGAAACTGAAACATCCAGGATTTCTAATATTCTGTTTATTTATCCCTTATGTTTAGCAAATATGTGTTTGTGTTGTCTGGAAAACAAGAAAATGTATCCTGCCACGAGCGTCTCCATCTTCACTTCCTGTCAATCATCAGTATAAATGTTGCTCTTTTATGCCTCTAAACACTAAACGAAAGAGGATAAACAGAAACAGAAACAATGCTTCTGCTCTCCTCATTTCCATTGTTTGTCTTAGCTGTGAGGTTACTTGCCAACTATTTAATATACATTTTAAAAGAAAACCGAGCATCACATGACCGAAAGGCCAAAGCATCTTCAATTTTTTTAATTTTCAGACAGTGGCATACACATGATACATGGGGCCCGGTGTGAAAACGCATCCCCCCGGCAGTGATGGGCCCGGTCGCAGCTGCGACCCCTGTACGTATGCCACTGTACAAACACACATACATACAAACACATATACACACACACACATACACACACCTAGATACAAACAGATATACAAAATATTTTAGTCACCCTTCTGTTTCCTACCTTTTACATGCAGGAGGGTGACTTCCCTGGGGTCCAGCGGTGGCTCAGCCTGATGGGAGTTAGAGTTCCCACTCTGACTCCCTCCTCTCTTCCTCCTGCATTAAGCTGGGAGGAGTGACGGGACAGTCACGTCCTCCCAGCTGTGATGTCATCAAAGGGGGCCCGGTCACGCTGACCAGGCCCCCTGGAAATCCATAGCTATCGGGTGGCCCCAACAGCATGTGCCACCCGATGGGCCCCTTAATGTGCGGCCCCTGCGGTTATACCACAACACATGGCTGCGGGCACCCGGTCGTAGGGGTCCGCAGGGCCCCACTGTTTCCAGAAGAGTGACAACTCTATTGGCAATTATACTTACTTATATGTATATTTAACAAATGTGTATTTGAGAGGTATGATAAATAAAAATTAAATTACCAAATAAGCTATCTCAGCTCCCTATCAGTCGTTATAAACTCTATTCTTTACTCCTGGCTTTCAGAAAGTATAACAATGTCTCTAATTCTTTTCATTTGCAATGTTTACCATGGTTTTGTATAGGTATAGGAAGCTGTTACCACTATATTGGAGGGATTATTGCTGGGATATCCCTGGAGGAAGCTGTTACCACTGTCTAAATAAGGGTCTTTCATCTCCTTGTTTTATGTGCAAGGGTGATTGTTTTTGGCTCTATATATTTACCATCAGGGCCGGCCTTAGGGGTGTGCGAGCTGTGCGACCGCACAGGGCGCCATGGAACAGGGGGCGCCCTGTGGCCAACACAGCTCACTCATGGCCGGAGTGCAGGGGAGCTAAAAAAGGGACCTGGCTGGAGGATTAATTATTCTCCACCCGGGTCTATTTAAAAAAAAAAAAAATCGCGGCAGAGGGGGCGGGGTTTACCGAGCGGCGGAGGCGGGGCTTATCGAGAGGCGGAGACGGGGCTAATACCTCCCGAAGCCCCTGCTGTACAGGAAGAGGGAAAGATGCTTCCCCATCAGCCAACTGCATCCACTGGAAAGAGGTAAGTGTGTGTGTGTGACTGTTTGCCTGTTTGTGTGACTGTCTGTCTGTGTGTGTGTGTGACTGTCTGTCTGTGTGACTGCCTGCCTGTGTGCGTGTGACTGTCTGTGTGTGACTGTCTGTGTGACTGCCTGTCCTTGTGTGTGTGTGTGTGTGTGACTGTCTCTGTGTGTGACTGCCTGCCTGTGTGTGACTGTCTGTGTGTGTGACTGTCTGTCTGTGTGACTGCCCATGTATGTGACTGTCTGTCTGTGTGACTGTCTGTCTGTGTGACTGTCTGTGTGTGTGACTGCCTGTGTGTGTGAGACTGTCTGTCTGTGTGACTGTCTGTGTGTGTGACTGTCTGTCTGTGTGTGTGACTGCCTGTGTGTGTGACTGCCTGCCTGCCTGTGTGTGTCTGTCTGTAACTATCTGTCTGTGTGTGACTGCCTGCCTGTGTGTGTGACTTTCTATCTGTGTGACTGCCTGCCTGTGTGTGCATAACTGTCTATGTGTGTGTTACTGTGTGTCTGTCTGTGTGTGTGACTGCCTATGTGACTGTCTGTCTGTGTGTGTCGCTGTAGCTGTGCCATTGTTTGTGCCTGTGCCTGTATGTGTGACTGCCTTTAACTGAGTGTGTGTGTACATGCCTGTAACCGAGTTTAAATTTCCCCCACCCCTTCCTGTCAAGGCCGCACTTTGACTGACAGACGCTCACTCACTGACAGACGCACACTCACTGACAGACACACACTCTCATATACACTGACAAACAATGACATACACACATACACTATTACTTGGACACACACTGACAGATGCACACTCTCACTGACAGACGCAAGCACTCACTGAAAGATGCACGACTCCACTGACCGACACATACACACTGACTGACACACACTCACTGACCGACACACACTCACTGACCGACACATACACACTCACTGACCTACACACTCACTGACCTACACACTCACTGACCGACACACACTCACTGACGACACATACACACTCACTGACGACACATACACATGACGACACATCACTGACTGACACATACACACTCACTGACTGACACATATACACTCACTGACCAACACACACATTCACTCACAGACACACACACATTCACTTACAGACACACACAATTACACACTTACAGACACACACAATTACACACTTACACACACACACACACACACACATTCACTTCAAAATAAACACTCACAGACACACACACAGACATTTCCACTAACACTCACAAACTAATATTTTTTACATTTATTTTAAATCCACCCAGCCTCCCTGGGAAAGCTGGAGTGGATTTCTTACCAGCAGTCCAGTGTGGCTGCTGGGCAGGCAGGCAGGGGGCGCACAGGCTGAGTAAGCAGCGCTTAGTGATGCCGGGAGCCGGACTGACGTCATATTCTGGCTCCCGGCTTCATTAAGCGGCGCAGAGGAAGCTGAGCAGGAAGAGCTCAGGTGAGTATGCTCCTTCGCTGCCCGCTGCCAGCCTTGGGGGGGCTCAAAAGTGGCCAGCCGGTCAGCTCTTGAGCCCCCCAGGATGCGAGGCAAGCAAGGGATCTGCCTGGGGGTTTGGAGGGATGCTTTTTTTTGCCGCCCCCTGCAAAGTGGCGCCCAAGGCAGATGCCTTGTTTGCCTCGTGATACACACGTCCCCGGTGCCTGTGTGTGTTACTGTATTCAGGCAACTTGGTGGGAGGTGGGGGGGGCGCCGTGAAGACTTTTTGCACAGGGCGCCTAATTGCCTAAGGCCGGCCCTGTTTACCATGGTCTGAACTGGATTAATAGGTAATCTGCAAAATACTTTAATATAATGTTAAAAGAAAATGGATAAAAAAAAAAAAAAAGAATTTAATACATTTTGCATTCCATGGTGTTAAGTCGAGAAAAAAAGACCATTTGTTTCCCTTTAAGTGAATCCTTTCTTATTTGGTTTCTCATGTTCTTTTTACCCCAATTACACCCTTTTATCCCAGTACACAATATCCCACAGAGATTCCAGCTCTACATCCAACTTATATTTTACAGACTAAAAATACATTTTATTTTGATGCCCACAGTGTACAGCAAATCATGGCAGGCTGCTGATTCCACGTTTGAAATAAAAGAATAGCACAGCTTCTTTGCAAATTAGGTGGGAAAAAAAAACAGAATTTTATCCATTTTGTTTTCAATTATTTCACACCATAAACAACTTTATGTGGAGAGAATAATACTGATCACCAAATGTCAATTATAAAACTTTTGTTAAATGTCGATTGAAGCATACTTGCTGAGAAGCAGGCATTAGGGTCCTGCAGTGAAACGGAATTCTGCCAAAACAACAAGAATTACATCTATTTATATCCTCCAGAGGAATCGAAGCAAAAAAATGTTCATTCATAACAAAATAAATAGCTGGCCTATAACGTGAATGTTAATGTTCGATGATGGATGAAACTAGAGGTATGGTATCCTAGAATTTTACAGTGGCTCATAAACTGTAGTTTATTCTGCAATAATCTATGTACAAACCTTTGATTGGCTCATAAAACATGTACATGTGTAGGTGGATCCTAAGGTTTCTTACTGGCCCCAAGTTTGTCAAGTCTCATTGCATCGAGCATACAGCTCTATGCACAGTGTTTTCCCATTTGAATGAGATCTGGAAATATTGTCTGCAGGGAGCATGCACAGTGGAGAACACTTTAACTAGAAGCTGAATGCAGGTGTACTGCTGGTCAATAGTACAGTGTGATCTTCCAACCAAGCCTTTCCTTCCATTTATCAGAATGTGGTTAGTATGTTCCCCATATCATGGCACAGATATTCTAATAAATATACTTAAAAGCAGCACACTGCACCAAAACCCCTACATTAAAGGAACACTATAGAATCAGAACACAAATGAATTCCTGACCCTATAGTGTTAAAAATTCCCTGCAAATGTTTTTCACAAAGAGGCATTGGATTCAATGCTTCTCTATGAGAAGTATCCAAATGTCAGAGAGTGACAATTACAATGCTGCTTTATGATAAGCACTGAATTAGCCCGAGATAATTACCAATGATTTCAGAAGATTGGGTGGCTGCAAAGGAGGAAGTGGAGCAGCACTAGATAAGACAGTTTAAAGAAAAACCCTAAGAATCATCACCATTACAGCACACTGTAGTTGTTATGGTGTCAGGAGTGCCTTGGCATCTTCGAAATGCGAGGAGTCAAACATTTTAGAACAGTTTGACTTCTTACATGGGATCTGCAATGAGTAGTATGGTGCAGGTAGCACCAATGCACAGACCATTACTATTATCCAACCCTCTGGGCAACCATGGAGCCTTTAGGCATAATGCTTATAGTGCACCAGCAGTGATTTATTCATACAAACTCCAAAATACAATTTGGAAAAGTTCACATTTTATATGCACAAACACATCCCGAGAGCATAACCATAGATTTAAGTAGTAAAAATTATTATAGAATATTTGTAGATACAGAGCAGCCTTCCACTCTTCTATTAGACATTTAAAAAAATAAAAAATAAAAAATAAATAAAAAAAAAGGAAATATTAACCAGGACAGAATTGAAAAGAAGAAAAAAAAAAATCTAATAAAAAAGAGGTTTTGTTGGACATATGTACTTTAAATCCATATATTACATTGAAGTTGTACCTATGATAGCATCAAGTGCTAATGGGCACTGTCTCAGCACCTCCTTGTAGCTTGTCACAGCTGAACGTTCCTGTCCTGCTTTCTTGTACAAATTAGCCAACATCATATTAATCTACAAATAATAGAAAGTAAAAGCATATAATTTACCAAGAAACAAAAATGATCGACCCTAAAATAGATTTAAAAATGATTTGTATAGTTCTGTTACCTTCGGTGTTCTTTGGCGTGAAGGAATTCCATCCAAAATGGCTATAGCATCCTTGTCCTGCTTCAACATGGTGTAACACTCAGCCATCTTGTATTTTACTTCAATTTCTGAAGGCAAAAACTAAAAACCAAGAAAAGAAATGCAATATATATTGCACATTACAAAATACAGTCTTGGTGTAACAAGCTCTAAATAACCTGTAACAATGGACCACTCTACTGCACGCTTTCCCATATAACCTTGAGCAGGAATGCCAACCATTTCATCTGTATGGTATATGTAGCAGACATTTATTATTATTATTATGATATTTATAGAGCGCCGTCAAATTCCGCAGCGCTTTACAATGGGTGGACGAACAGACATGTAGTTATAACCAGACAAGTTGGACACACTGGAACAGAGGGGTTGAGGGCCCTACTCAATAAGCTTACATGCTAGAGGGAGTGGGGTAAAATGCCCGTTTAAAGTTAAATTGTTTAATGCCTTCCAATTTTTTTTAATTTTTTTTTTTTAACATATTTCTCTATTCATTCTTATATTCTAAAGTTGTGTCCCTCTTTCCTCCCCCCACCTCCTTTTCGTCCTAATTTTATATAAAAAAAAAAAATTAAATTAATGACACCATTCATATTGTACCATTTTAGTTATTTTATCTATATTTTGTAATATTCTGATGTTGTATTACAAAGTTTTAAGTCATTGATATTAGAATGTCTGAGGTGTTAATGTTTAATTTCAAGTAAGGATATATCTGCCACATTAATGAATGGACTATGGGGTATACAAGTTCCATGCCTGTGATACAATGTCAGCCACTGATGAAATGAACCTGTGTTTACAGAACCCATTAGGCGGGACATTTGAAAGGAAGCAACAGAGTTGGAAGCAATCCAACAATACACAGACCAGTCCGAGCCTCAGTGGGATTCATATTGACATTGCAACACTACACACTGCTGTGCCTGGTTACTTCCTGGATTATCACATTAAGAATTGCCCACTTCTCCTCCTCAAACCGGCATGTGGAGGTAAACTGGGAGTGACTGGCACTTTCTAGGGGCCGGGTTCCCCAAAAAGCAATTCCCAATTCACGGTCTTCTGAGTGTTTTTAATCTCTTTTACATTTATTAAATTATTGTTTTAGCTCTGTGAATTTGTTCTTTTTTTCTCTCTAAGATTCACTATACATGCAGTCTATGCATTGACCAATACATATGGTCTGGATTTCATTTAGAAAAGGGGATGATGTACTAAACAGTGTTTTATTGTAGTGCTATATAAATTCAGCAGCTTAATCCTAGAGACCACTGTATGATTCATCCAGGGGTCTGCGTACCACATTACATCTATTTACTGGACACTGTCTTCATACCAATATTGTTACTCAACGTATTATTTTTCACATTGCAGTTAAGCAATTAACTTGTCACTTGGGACTGATAGGTAACTGGTGTTGACTGAAACAGTTTCTGTATTTTTAATTTTATATTTATTTTTGATTCATTGCCATTCACTTCGGTTTTTATGGTTTATATTTTGACTATGCTGCAACAATGAAGATAGGAGCCACACTCAATCCCAGCAGTCACCCGGTGCTCCGGAGCAGGGCCAGCAATCCCACAACAATAAGGCAAAAAAGATAAATCTCCAGGCTCTCAAGCTGTTTAAGTCGCAGCCAGTTTTAACAGAACAGAAAAGAGCAGCAACGTTTCGACCTGCTAAGAGGTCTTTGTCAAGCTTGACAAAGACCTCTTAGCAGGTCGAAACATTGCTTAAAGCTTGACAAAGACCTCATAGCAGGTCGAAACATTGCTGCTCTTTTCTGTTCTATTAAATCTGGCTGCGGCTTAAACACCTTGATGTGTTGATACGTATATTTATTTTATTTTATAGTTTACGTCTCATATGACGGATTGCACTGGAAATGACAGTTACTTGTACCCTTACCACAGTAAATACGATTGAATAGAGTGGGAAAACAAACAAAAAACAAACCATGTTGAGCCACAAGTATCTGTACAATAATGCCATAGCCATACGTGTAAATGTGCACTCTAGCATTCCTTCAACAGTGGCAGTTTTGTGCATACATTTCTGTCATGTTCATTTAATTTAAATAAAGCTACACTTCGCAATATTGACATAGCTAGTCGGTTGCACAAACAGCTTATCCTTGGAAATTACTATTTAAGCCAAGTCTAATTGAGTGAGGGTGGGTTCTTATCCTTATAGTATTTTCTACAGCAGCGTTTCTCAATTGGTGTTCTACGGAACCCTGGGGTTCCGCAGAACACTAATTAGGGTTCCGCCAAAAGTAAAAAAAAATAAAATGACAGCGGGCGGTGAGGGAGCAGTGATCTCCCTGCTCAGCTCCCTCGCACAGCAGTGATGCTGGAGCCGGTGTTCGATTAAAATTCCCTACCCCGTAAAAATCCCTTACACTCGTCACTTCCAGTGAGGGAAATCAGCTGGATCCTGTGCTGCACATGCGTGCTAGCACTCCTGCTACTCCTCCACAGATCAGTACACCAGCAGCCCCACTGGACCCCATGCCAGTACTTCTAAAGGTAGGGGGGCTGGGTGGAGTAACATGTAAAAAAAAATAAAAATAAAAAATGTATATGTGTGTTAGGGAGTTGGTACGTGTTTGTATGTCTGTCAAAGAGTATATGTGTGCTTGTCAGTGAGAATGAATGTGTTTGTCTGTGAGAATATATCTGTTCTTGTCAGATATAGAGTGTATATGTGTTTGTATGTGTGTCTGTCAAAGAGTATGTGTGTGTGTCTGAGTGTGTAAAGATTTGTGTACGTGTCACTGTGTGTATCTAAGTGTGTCAGTGTGTGTATGTGCCAGTGAGTGTATATGTCACTGTGTGTGTATATTTGTGAGTCAAGATGTGTGTGTCAGTGTGCATCTGAGTGTCAAGGTGTGTGCCAGATACACACACACATTGACGCATACAAACACAGATACACACACTGTGTGTATCTGTGTGTCAGACACACACACAGGCACATACAAGCATGTTGATACAGTATGTCAAAGGGTTCCACAGGAAAAAATTAATTGGGAACCCCCGTTCTATAGGAACCAAAAAAGTTATCCGCTTCTTATAGAAATGTAATACTTTGTTCTTAAAGAGACACTATAGTCACCACAACAACTACAGCTTAATGTAATTATTCTAGTGAGTATAGTCAAAGATTGCAGGACTGATGTTCAGCATCGCCATGATCTACATGGAGACGCTGAACTCTCCCCATAGAGATGCATTGCTTCAATGCATTAACATGGGGAGACGAATCATTGGATTGGCTGAGATTGTCAAGATTGATGATCTCAAACGGAGAGGCAGAGTGGCAGCACAGAGACCAGCAAGCTGCAGGATACAAGGCAAGTAAATATGTTTTTTTTTTGTTTTTTTTAAACCCTCACCATATTCCCAACGATGTACTGTTCATTTAGCATTTTAGTGTAGTCTGGTTTTTGGTATAATACAGTCATTGGTTTAATGTAGAGGAGAACATGCTAAACAATATTGTAAAGCGCTACGGAATCTGTTGGCACTATATAAATGGCAATAATAATAATAAACACACATCCATCCATTTATATCGCTATATAATTTTATAATGAATGAAAATGTTGCTAACTACTTAACTATATATATATATTCTATAAATTCCAGCTGTAGTAACCCACGTTTCATGAGGTGTTATTTTTTTTCCCCACCACTAGTCAGACTCCACTTACTTTTGTGTAATGATTAAAAATGTAAAAAAAATTCCAAAAACATTTTTTTTTTGTAGATTTATTATTATAAATTGACTGCAATCTTCCAAAATGCAGCAGAATACAAGTATCACCATTAACATGCTGCTAGAGTAAGACCAGCACCTACTTTTAAAACAATGGGAAAAATCTAGAATTTGTGGGCAAGTATCAGCTAGCTAAAAATCTGGGCAAATTTTGTTAAGGGAAATGGAATGCTGGGAATATTGAGTAAAAAGGGAGAACTTCAGATGTTTATTTTTAATTTTGTTATTTTTAATACACTTCAAAAAAAATGGGACATCCTGGAGTGTCCTTTTTATTCTTTTATTTTTGCTTTAACAGATGCAATATTATGTAGCAAAGTAGTGAGACACAAACCATAGCACATTCAATACATTGTATACAATTTTATCACATCACACAATTGTTGCGTTATAAAATGGAACATACAAATAATAGCCATCGTCCATGCCTCCAAATGCAAACACTGATACATACTGCCAAATACTTTATATAAAAGGTTAGGTACACAGAATTTAAATTTTTTTTTAAATCAATAATAAACAGGTGTAACTACTTTTTTGGCCAAATATCACGTATCCTCACTTTAATCGTGCGACCTGCTTAGAGAGAGTCGAACCCTCGAATAACTGGACTCTTCTCACCTATTATTTTAAAAATAAATAGAGTGAGAGATAGACATAGATAGTGAAAAAAAAAAAAGATATAAAAGTAGATGGGGCAGAGCCTGACCACTAAGCTGATCAGTCGTGTGTAGCTTGAGTTCCTGCATTTCTTGCTGAAAATTGGCTTTTTGAACAAGATTCTGGGGATTATTTGCTTTGTCATTGATATATGCACAAGCAGGGGAGCCTGGGTAAGCGGTCTCATACCTTTCTTGAACATTTTTACCACCGAGTGTCCGAGGATCCTGTTGTGGCCTACTGGGACCTGGACTGAGGACAAGCACCCGATCTCCTTGTGCCCTAGCCCTACACTTGGGCGCATTGCACTCCCTCCCCCGGGATATCCCAGTTCTCTCAGTGCTGACAGATCTGACTTCCAAATACCTATCACACCATGTGAGCAACAGTAAACTGTGTGCAAACCCACAACATGGCAGTCGTTTCTCTCACAGACTCATGTGGCATTAGTTTCCTCCAGAAAGCTCCCAGCGACGCTGTTGCAGAGTTTCAACTGCGGCCCGACCGCCATTTCCAACGCTTCTGGCTCACACTCCAGCAACGTATGGCAACTACCAAAGCCGAACAAGAGTGCAGAGCCTTGGGAGACAAGCAACCAGAGACAAAGGGGCCTACTCCCGGTGAAAAGCTTCAGGGAAAACCCATGTATCCTGTTCCTCACTCACCTAGGCGACCACATGGGGCTTGTATATACTGCATCAGCCACCAGGGCGGAGGACTGTCCGTGTTAAGCAGCACCTGTCACCCCGATCCTCTGACCAACCTCAAAAGGATATAGTCTCGTACTGTAATGGTATATGCCTCGAAAAAAACTTTAAAATTTAATGCCTCAATAAAAATTTAAAAAGAAAAGTAGAGTACTATAAAAGTAAAGTGGGAGTTCTATAAGTTGTCATTTTACCTGTGAATGGAGTGTCTTTTTTAAACACATTTGTTGGTACTCTATAAATACATGATGATAATTGTGATAAAAAATACATTAAGGGAAAAGACAGGCTGTTTTCTATTCAAAATGGTTGAATGGCTACCTGATTTTGTGGAGTTGTTGTGGTGTTTCCAGTAGACGGTCTAACTTTAGAAGTTTTGGTTAAAGATTTTTTCTGCTGGAGAGCCATGGTGTACTTGCTCACAGCATTTCTATATTCCTTGTCATGAAACAGGGAATCTGCATGATACACCAGCAACTGGTACTTTTGGGACGGTGAAAACATTTCCCTGAGAAAAGATGAAAACAAGATTATTAATGGAAGCAAGCTAAATCAACACCTACAAGTTAATAGTTTGAACCACAAAGTAAGAGTCAATTACTTTTTTTGTTCAACTTAAAAAGTGAACCAGTTTTAAACTTACCTAAAATTGCTCCCATATACATTGAATACACCATATATCAAAACCATACATGGCGTTTTCAATGTAAACTATAAATATTTACTCGCCTTTTCTCTGTTCCAGCGCCGCTCTGTGGGTGTTACGCTTTGTGTAACATCCACCGCCTTCTAGCCGTCCTCTGCTCTGTCCGCGCTCCTCCCGAAGTCTTCTTTGATTTGCCCTGCTTGGGACACATCCCAATCAGGGCAAATCTCGCCAGTGACATTGGCACGCTGTGATATCATTCTGTTCCTATGCTCCCTAGTCAGTGTTAGAAGCTCTGGCTAGGGAGTTTCCATAGCAACCACAGCGCATGCATGTTACAGAATTCCTACACACACGGTAGCTGCACATTGACCGCTCTCTACGGAGGACCGAGAGGCTATAAGGGCGGAAGTGGTGGTGGGAAAGAGGCGACTGAGAAGGGTTTTTGGATGAAAAATGCATGTTACAGAAGTTGCAGTTCTATGTTGTGAAGGATCTACTGTTTGCCACCCTCCAACTAGAGTTTAAAAAATAAATAAAGTGAAAAGAGTAGAGTTGGGAATAAACTTGTTTATTTCAGCCTAAATATTGCAAGCCAACCCTCAAACTACAAGAACAAGGTTGTTTTACAAATCTATGAATGCAATGGGATGGGCAGATAATTTTATAGTAATTCAACAACATTTTGGAGAATCAGAGTTAGATAACCCTTCATGAGAATAAACATTAACACCATAACATCTCACATGACTGTTGGATGATCAAACCTATCCAAAATATATACACATACAATACAGTAATATACTTAATTGACAAAGGAGAGAGCTAGTTTTTCTATTTTCATTGCATCTAATAAGTGGACATGCTCCACTTATTACTATGTGCTCTCTCTCTCTCTCATGGCCCATGCAGTCTGTCTCTCTCTTTCTCTCTCTCTCATGGCCCATGCAGTCTCTCTCTCTCTCTCTCTCTCATGGCCCATGCAGTCTCTCTCTCTCTCTATCATGGCCCATGCAGTCAGTCTCTCTCTCATGCAGTCTCTCTCTCTCTCATGGCCCATGCAGTCTCTCTCTCTCTCTCATGGCCCATGCAGTCTCTCTCTCTCTCTCATGGCCCATGCAGTCAGTCTCTCTCTCTCTCATGGCCCATGCAGTCAGTCTCTCTCTCTCATGGCCCGTGATCAGTCTCTCTCTCTCATGGCCCATGCGATCCGGTCTCTCTATCTCTATCTCTCTCTCATGGCCCATGCAGTCAGTCTCTATCTATCATGGCCCGTGCAATCTCTCTCTCTCATGCCGGTCTCTCTCTCTCTCTCTCTCTCTCATGGCCCATGCAGTCTCTCTCTCTCTCATGGTATTACGGTCTCTCTCTCTCTCATGGCCCATGCAGTCTCTCTCTCTCTCTCTCATGGCCCGTACGGTCTCTCTCTCTCTCTCTCTCATGGCCCACATGCAGTCTCTCTCTCTCTCTCTCATGGCCCATGCAGTCTCTCTCTCTCTCTCTCTCTCTCTCTCTCATGGCCCATGCGGTCTCTCTCTCTCTCTCTCTCTCTCTCCTTGGCCCATGCAGTCTCTCTCTCTCTCTCTCATGGCCCATGCAGTCTCTCTCTCTCTCTCTCATGGCCCATGCAGTCTCTCTCTCTCTCTCATGGCCCATGCAGTCTCTCTATCATGGCCCATGCAGTCTCTCTCTCTCTATCATGGCCCATGCAGTCTGTCTCTCTCTCTATCTATCATGGCCCATGCAGTCTCTCTCTCTCTATCCATCTATCATGGCCCATGCAGTCTCTCTCTCTCTCTCTCTCTCTCTCATGGCCCATGCGGTCTCTCTCTCTCTCATGGCCCATGCAGTCTCTCTCTCTCATGTCCCATGCAGTCTCTCTCTCTCTCATGTCCCCTTTGCCCGGTCGGTCTCTCTCTCTCATGTCCATGCTGATTGGTCTCTCTCTCTCTCTCTCTCTCTGGCCCATGCAGTCTCTCTCTCTATCTATCTATCATGGCCCATACGGTCTCTCTCTCTCTCTCTCTCTCTCTCATGGCCATGCAGTCTCTCTCTCTCTCCTCTCATGTCCATGCCGGTCTCTCTCTCTCATGTCCCATGCAGTCTCTCTCTCATGTCCACGCAGTCTCTCTCTCTCATGTCCCGCGGTCTCTCTCGCTGTGTCCGCGCAGTCAGTCTCTCTCTCATGTCCATGCAGTCAGTCTCTCTCTCTCTCTATCATGGCCCATGCGGTCTCTCTCTCTCATGGCCCGTACGGTCGAGTCTCTCTCTCTCATGGTAGCCGGCCTCTCTCTCTCTCTCTCTCATGTCCCATGCAGTCTCTCTCTCTCTCTCTCTCATGTCCCATGCAGTCTCTCTCTCTCTCTCTATCTATCATGGCCCATGCAGTCTCTCTCTCTCTATCATGGCCCATGCAGTCTCTCTCTCTCTCTCTATCTATCATGGCCCATGCAGTCTCTCTCTCTCTATCATGGCCCATGCAGTCTCTCTCTCTCTCTCTCTCTATCATGTCCCATGCAGTCTCTCTCTCTCTCTATCATGGCCCATGCAGTCTCTCTCTCTCTCTCTCTCTCTATCATGGCCCATGCAGTGTCCTAGCTGATACTCACGGGTTGTTGTTACTCATGGTCAGTAAGAGACTGCTCAGTAACCGGACATTAGAGTGCAGGCCGGCCGCAGCCATGTCCCGGACATGATCTATAACATTCATCTTTCTCAGCTTTCTGATCTCCACAACAATCCGGCTCCACCTAGCTGCACTGCCAGCAATAAATCATGGCGGCAGCGCTGCCCTGCCAGTACACATAGCTGCCCTCAGCGTGCCAGCTCACAGTCACACGGTCACTGTAACCCAGGGAAAGGCCGGGGCGGGCACAGACACACAGGATGGGGTATTACAGCCCCTCTCCGGGGACATTATTATCAGTATACAGGCACTGGTTACTGTATGGGGCCAGCTCTCACAGGGGATTCTGGATAGTTTTATGTGTCTTCTCCAGACACCACATTTCGTTGTATTGAGACTACGAGTTGTACACTCAGGAATGTCTGTGCGCAGGCACCGCCCGGGACTCCTAAATACAGCGCCCTCGCAATTCTACGGCGAAGTAAGGCGTCCATTTTTGTTACGGGCAACAGGTTCCGACTTACAAACAAGCGTCGGATCCTTAACATGGCGGTCAATGTGCAGCTACCCTGTGTGAAGGAATTGAGTAAATGCCCACATCAAAGATGGCGCTTTAGTTAGTTACGTCATGCGTTCCAGCCGAGTTCAGCACCTCACGTGCTCTCTACTGAGGACTGAGAGGCTATAAGGGCGGAAGTGGTGGTGGGAAAGAGGCGACTGAGAAGGGTTTTTGGATGAAAAGTGCCTGTTTGGAGGTGTCCTGGTCTCCCCTCACACTATGTCAGAGCAATCAGTCCTCCTGCTCAGGAAGCAGCTGGCTGGTAAGAGAGCAGGCTGGGTGCAGGCCTGGCAGGGCGCTTTGTTCTGGGCTCCCATTGTGCTGCCCTGGAACCCATAGGAAGTGATAGCTGGAGTTTACCACACTCCCTTTAACAGAGATTTCCTTGTATTATGGCTGGTGGGAAGCCATGGGGCTACTGTTTGTGGTTATTATTTTCCAGATTACTTTTTATATATAATTTTTTTTAAGCTTGTTTTCAGAAACAAAACTTTAAAACATTCTAAAAGTCTTTTATGTAGCACCCAGTGTAAATACTGGTGTCTGACTTCTGAACTCTTACTGTTGCTATCATCTTATATGGCCTTTTGCTGTTACCAAAAAAAAAGTTTTCAACTTGTTTAGTTCTAAGTGTAAGGTGAGTACAGATGGGAAATACGTGTAGGTGCTGGCCATCTTTGTTTTTTGTGTAGATGGGTGGTAAAAGGGTTTGATATATTCATTCAGCAGAACTAGGATTGCTGAATTTTTCTAGTGACCACTGCAGTAAATCTTTTTTTTTTTTTTTTTTTTTCATGAACATGCCCTTATTGACAATTTGTGATTTACTTGTTCGTTTTTGTTTTTTCCAGAACTGAACAAAAATCCAGTTGAAGGGTTTTCGGCTGGCTTAATTGATGACCATGATATATTCAAATGGGAAGTGTTGCTTATTGGACCTCAGGATACATTATTGTAAGTTATGTTGGCGAAAGTCTTGAACTGACCCTCTACTTTGTTTTTGCATCACTTTAATTGTTGTGCTCTTGGACTCTTAGATGGGCATGTTTTATTAAGAAACTGAGGTGCAGCCTTTAGGTGAAATCTTTACATCTTCATCAGAACTCCATGTGGTGTTGAAGGCTATAGACCTCACTCTGCTAATAGAACATCCTAAGTGTTTGGTAAAGGGTGGCCAGGGTCAACTAAATTTACCACGTTGTCTCCAAAGAACAATCTTCATATAACGTGGGTGTGTATTCAATCCTTCCATTCCACATATAACTCTTGAAAATCTCGCCCTATATTGTCCTGTTCATTCCATGAAATGTATGCCTTTAAGATCTTCTGTCTGTTAGAGTAAGCTCATTTAAATTCTCTCCCCCCAAGAAATACTACAAAGTACCGGGGATTATTCACATTTATATTGCGCTAAAGTACTCTGCAGCACTTTACAATTCTAAAATGGGGATATTTGACATGTTACTTACATGCAGTATATAACACAAGAGGTGAAGGTCCTGCTCAAACAAGCTTACAATCTATTATAGATAATTCTACCAGCCCTAATTACCAAATGTACCGGTGGAGTGAATGAAACAGGGTTCCCCACAACCACTAAAAATTGGGGCAGTCAATTAACCCATACACAAGGCTGATAAGTGGGTAAATACGGCTTGTAGACCAGGTGCACTTTTTTGTCCCTGCAACAACTGGGGCAGCACATGAAAGATGTAAAAATATGTACATTTACTGTTTCTACTGTAACTTGGGACAAAGACTAATCAAGTACTTGGTCATTAACTACGAAGTGTAATCCTCTTTTATTTTATGGAGTTTGCATTCTTACTTTGACTTCTGAAACATAGGATTGCCTTTGATTCAAAAATCCTGCTTGTTTTGTTTATAGTGAGGGTGGCTTCTTTAAAGTGCACCTTACATTCCCAAGTGATTATCCACTGAGGCCTCCAAAAATGAAATTTATAACAGAAATCTGGCATCCTAATGGTAAGTACTGTGCATTGTTAACAATTTAGTGAGCTTTTGAGGGAAATGCTAGTAATGTTACAGCATATGCGTTAAACACCAGTTAATGTTCGTGTAGGGCTGATCTTGACATTCTACACTCCAGGACAGCTGGACTTTGCTGTTAACTAGCTACACAGTTAAAGGGTTACTCCAACCACCATGACCATTTCAGTGAGCCTGTCTAATATCGATTCTGTGGGGGAAAAACTGCATCTCTTCCGCGTGTGCTCCCTCTCTTGCCAAAATCTATCTTATTGATGTTTTAAATACCCTGCCTTGGCAATTCTGAGCATGTGTATGCCCTTAGACCATGAAACTGTCCAATCAAATGACTTTCTCTGGGGATGTGAGATGGAGGGTATTTTTTCCTTTGTTGTTTTAAAGGGGACCTACGTAATAATGCTGAGTAGGATGGATGGGGGTTAACAATGGTTTATATCAAATTAAGATGCATCTAAGGGCCAGATCTTAAAAGAAACCTATAAGGTAATGACTTTGTTTGGGGGAGTTGCAGTCCAAACGGACAGGAGGATGAAAGAGCCAACAGAGTAATGAAAAGGGGAAGAAAAACAGGCAGGTTTCTGATAGTCTGATGCAAAACAATTGTATCCAAACTCGGATTCTAAAAAATCTCTCAGGAATGCAGCTTTTGTTTCTAATAAGACTTTCTTCTCCTGTTTTGGTATGTTAAATGTCTATACAGATTGCAATATTTTAAGCATTACTGGTAAATGCTGGATAAACTGGCTTAAAGAGGGACTCTGCCATGTGTAGTAAGAATAGTTTGACATTACTGTCTTACCTATACTTTGTCCTTACAATACACAGATTATCCAGTGCAGAACCTTTCTAAATACTAGTCTCTTCCAATTCTTGTCCTTGCCGATCACCCAGCATACTTTGCACAAATTATGTCAGGAACTGCTGTAGCAGAATTCGGTAACGGTCTTACTTGTAATGTTAATTAATACCAAACTTCCTGTTCTGCTTTGCTGTAGGAAACCTCTCCTTTCTGTAAGTGTGTATCCATAGCAGTCATGCCAATATTTAAATGCTTTTGTATATTCTGTGTTGAAGCAAACATACCTTTCCTGTTTCCTCAGTTGCAAAGAATGGTGATGTGTGTATCTCTATTCTTCATGAGCCTGGCGAAGACAAGTTTGGCTATGAGAAGCCTGAGGAACGTTGGCTGCCCATCCACACAGTGGAGACTATCATGATCAGTGTTATTTCTATGTTGGCAGACCCAAACAGTGACTCTCCAGCAAACGTAGATGCTGCCGTAAGTACAATTTGAGCACTCAGGTGATGTGTAGTCAATCTATAGACTGGGAACATATAAACGTTCCATAACCCCATGTATGCTCTTCACTTTTGAGAATTTGGCGATTATCTGGCTGAACAGCCATGTTGGGTCACTCTTATCTGACCAACTGCAGTTTGGTACAGTGCCTAATGTGCCTGCTGCAGCTTCACATAGAGCAATCATAGCAGCTGGAGCTGGATCTCTCCCTGCTTCTCCCCAATCCTGTCTGTCTTCTGTGTGGCTCCCTCTGTAGCTTCAGCAGCTAGAGGGGGCAATACCCATCAGGAGGCCCCCTAAGTGGACTTCCCTTTGTGCAGGCATCGGCAGTATTTCTGTTGAGTGTTGGTGTAATGCAGGTCTAAAATAAACTGGAGCTAAAAATTAAGGCTGAACACTCAGTTTAAGAAACATGGTTAGGTGTACAGTAACTGGATTTGTGTTCATTTATACAGTGGCTTATCAACTGGACATAGCGCTGCACACATGTCCTTTGTGTCATTGTTGACTCTGTTAATGTTATCACAGGGCTGTTCATTTAACTAGTAAGTTCTGACTGTTTGTTAATCCTTCTTCCTACAGAAAGAGTGGAGGGAAGACCCAAATGGTGAATTCAAGAGAAAAGTTGCTCGATGTGTTAGGAAAAGTCAGGAAATGGCTTTTGAATGAAAAGGTAGGTTGAAATTGCTCTACTTCTAGATGACATGTCATTCTTGATGAACTCCAATACAAGCATCCCATATTGCTGAAAAATCTGATGCCTTCAGTCTGAGTTAGTATTGTAAAGTAGAAGTTCATACTTGCATATTACCCTAACAACTCCAATATAATGTACAGTAGGTACATTATTCATTGGCTGAGTGACAAAACTTGACAATTTGTCAAGACAATGTCCCAACTTAGTATGAACTGGTAAAGTAAAGAGTGTTCACACTTCTGCATTTTCATACCAATTTAAAACAGAAGCGTGTGACTCAGTGTTAAAGGACCACTATAGTGCCCTGGGGGTGCCCCCACTCTCAGGGTCCCCCTCCTGCCCGGCTCTGGAAGGGGGAAAGGGGTAAAAACTTACCTTTTTCCAGCGCTGGGCGGGGAGCTCTCTGCCTCCTCTCCTCCTCCGATCCGCCCCGTCTGCTGAATGCGCAAGAGCTGCGCGCATTCAGCCAGTCGCATAGGAAAGCATTCATAATGCTTTCCTATGGACGCTTGCATGCTCTCACTGATTTTCAGTGAGAAGCACGCACGCGCCTCTAGCGGCTGTCAATGAGACAGCCACTAGAGTATTTGGAGGAAGGCTTAACCAATTGATAAACTGCAGTTTCTCTGAAACTGCTAAGTTTATAAAAAAAAAGGGTTAACACTAGAAGGACCTGGCACCCAGACCACTTCATTAAGCTGAAGTGGTCTGGGTGCCTAGAGTGGTCCTTTAAGCCATTCTAAAATAGTATGAGCATTTGCCACATTAGAGTATTTCTTTAAATACCACATCCTTTTCCCAGTGTTTTGTGCAGATGGCAGTTATGTGGCTACTTAAAACACTATATAGCTTAATTGTATAGTATAGATATGGTGTCACATCTTGTGTGCAGTCCCTCAATGCTTTGAGTAGTTGATAAACCTGGTTTGAACACCCAAAACTCGTATCTGCAGAGAACACATGTATGCATTGTTTGATATATGTACACCTAAAGGCAACAGGTATACTTTTTGGATTGAAAATGAATTCTAAGGCAGGTCATTTTCTCTATTGTATTTAACAGATTTGCATGAAAACTTATCTTGACTTCTGAATAATATCCTTATTTTTGTCACTTGCAGTGTTTCAAGCAAGAAATTATCCTCTGTACGTTTGCACCTAATAAGCAATAGAATTCACAAGCTTTATGGCTAAACTCTTATTGGAGCTTGTGCAGAGTTTCATGGACTTCTCTCCCCCACCCTCAGCAGACAGTTTACCTTTTTATAAATTATGATCTACTTCTGTTTTAACTGAAAATGTTGACTTGATTGGTTTGCAATCCCAACGGAGCTCCTTTATTTATTCAGATATATATTTTTTTGAAAATGTATTTTATAAAGCTCAAGTCGCTCTTGCATTTTTTTTTTTTACCCTGGAGACTGCATAATGGGCTGTTGCAGAAGCACTGTAATAGATGGTCACTGCTGAGTACAAGCTTTCAAAGTGTGAAGCTTGCTTCCTGCAAAGCCACTTGCCTAGCAATCAAATTTTGACCATAGTTTTAACTTTTGTAGTGTTAAAGTACTGTGCTTGAGGAATTTAAACAATGAGGCTAACCCCACTAATATCATTGTTACACATTGCCTTTTTGCAGTATGGGTTAATTGGATACAGCAAGATTTCTTGGTCAATTTAGATGTGTGCAGTTCTGATACTCCATTGCCCTTTTCTATTTTTCTATTGTTTATGCTAAAGCAAAAACAAGGTTTTGTTCCATTTAATTTTTTCCCCTCCCTTCTGATCTTCCCAGCCGTTTTTGTTTTGCTTTTTTAAATAAAACACTTGGTTACAGAATGCAACCTTTTTGAGATGTTTCAATAACTTATGAGTCATGTTTTGAATATATTAAAGTTAATTCAATACAATCCTATTTGAGTGTTTCTTTACAAATGTACATCTAAGGCTGTTAGTGAAACTTCTTTTTTGGGGGGGGTGTTTAAATTTAAAGATTTGTGCATTACGATCGGTAACTCTTGTGTGTAGAACTTTTAAGGCATGTTTAGTCAACTGCTATGTAAAATACTCTTGAGGGAAACTAGGAAGTGGACTTTGTTGCAAGAGGGGTTGAGACCCTTGGCAGGACATTTAAATACAAGATTCCTGTTACACCTGCATAGCTTTCTTTCTTAATCTTGCAGTTGTGCAGTAATCAGCTTTTTTTTTTTTTTACTTGCACAAGCTTTCTCAATAAAATTAGATTTTATTGTATTTTGCAGATATCTAGTCTCCATTCTCCAGATAAATGGACAAATCTGTTATTACTCCTGCTCCAAAACCGAGGGTGTCCTTTAGATCTAAGCATCAAGCCTGTAGCAAATGTGCCACCCCTTTACATGACTGTTATAAAGTCTAGAGATTCTACATCTGTGCGTGATAGATCATGTTGTGCCCATTTACAAGAAAGATAGGGAGGAGTTGGGCAACTATAGGCCAGTAAGCCTTACTTCAGTAGTGGGTAAAGTGATGGAAACCATGTTAAAGGATAGGATTGTTGAACATCTAAACACATGTATTTCATGATCAGAGACAACATGGGTTTACTTCAGGGAGATCATGCCAAACTAATCTTATTGATTTTTTTTGATTGGGTAACTAAAATTATAGATCAGGGTGGTGCAGTAGACATTGTTTACCTAGATTTCAGTAAGGCTTTTGACACTGTTGCACATAGAAAGCTTATCAATAAACTGCAATCTTTAAGTTTGGATTCCAATATTGTTGAATGGGTAAGGCAGTGGCTGAGTGACAGGCAACAGAGGGTTTTAGTTAATGGAATATATTCGAAGCTTGGACTTGTCACCAGTGGGGTACCTCAGGGATCTGTACTTGAACCCATTCTCTTTAATATTTTTATTAGTGATATTGCAGAAGGTCTTGATGGTAAGGAATGTCTTTTTGCTGATACGAAGATATGTAACAGGGTTGATGTTTCAGGAGGGAAAAACCAAATGGAAAATGATTTAGGTAAACTAGAAAAATGGTCAGTTGTAGCAAGTGACATTTAATGTGGATAAGTACAAGATGCAAAAATGCATCTTGGACAAAAACCCAAGTGCAGAGATCAGAATATTTGATAGTCCTAACATCAACATCTGAGGAAAGGGGTGATTATTTCTGATGACTTAAAGGTAGGCAGATAATGTAATAGAGCAGCAGGAAATGCTAGCAGAATGCTTGGTTGTATAGGGAGAGGTATTCGCAGTAGAAAAAGGGAAGTGCTCATGCCATTGTACAGAGCACTGGTGAGACCTCACTTGGAGTATTGTACGCAGTACTGGAGACCGTATCTTCAGAAGGATATTGATACCTTAGAGTTCAGAGAAGAGCTACTAAACTGGTTCATGGATTGCAGGATAAAACTTACCAGGAAAGGTTAAAGGATCTTAACATGTATAGCTTGGAGGAAAGACGAGACAGGGGGATATGATAGAAACATTTAAATACATAAAGGGAATCAACACCGTGAAGACTATATTTAAGAGAAACTACCACAAGAGGACCATCTTAAATTAGAGGGACAAAGGTTTAAAAAAAATCAGGAAGTATTACTTTACTGAGAGGGTAGTGAATGCATGGAATAGCCTTCCAGCTGAAGTGGTAGAGGTTAACACAGTAACCTCTAGGCATAAGGCTATCCTAACTATAAGATAAGGCCAGGGACTAAGGAAAGTATTTAGAAAATTGGGCAGACTAGATGGGCCGAATGGTTATCTGACATCACATTCTATGTTTAACACACACTCCTGCGTGTTAAATCATATCAAACTGGAACACAAGATTTCTAGAAGTATCTTATGCCCAATTCTGTTTTACGCACTCTTGAGTAAAACTTAAGCTTCGCTTGCCGAATCTCTTGTTTTGCTCCAAAAAGTAATCGAAAAGTTGCAAAAAGAGAGCGCTTCTATTAGTCTGGCTAAAACAAGACTAGGTCTTCCGTCCAGGATTGGATATAAAACGTGTGAACACATGCATTCAATACTAAAGATTCTTGATGGAGACTATCTGATCAGTTACGCAGATGGGAATATACAGCCCCCTTAGATTTAAAGGAGGCATATTTTAAGGTTTCCATGGCATTAAGCTCAAGGAAATACTGGAAACTCAAAGCCTTTTCATAGCTGCAAGAACTTTTACAAAACTTCTCCTTCTGGCAGCCAATGTTTGAGAGATTACAATCGTCCCATATCTGGATGATTTGAAGTTTAAGACTTTAATTGGCTTTTAGAAACCTCAAAAATCCCATCCTACTCCCTCCACAAGAATTGGCTTCTAGGTCTAGAAGTAGACTGTCTCTCAAGCTTCTGCTTTGGAGGATAAATATCAGAATAGATATGTGGACAAGTACAACATGCTCAGACAGGCAATGAGCATACTGGGAACACTCACTTCATGTATTTCAACAGTAAAGTGGGCAAGGGCACAACTTAGATCTCTTCAATGGGAAATTCTTCAAGCTTGGTGAAGTGGATCTGAAATCCTTATTTCTAGAAAGGTTTGAAATGAGTTAAGATGGTATTCGTTTCCCGTATCTGGGTCTATCCTTCCACCAAAAAGAGTGGATCATCACTACAGATGCTTCAAAAACAGATTTGTGCTTTTTATCTAAATGCTTCCTTCTATAAAGAGTGACTGCAGAAGAGGCAGAGCATTCATCCAACTTTAGAGAAATGAGAGGGGTACGGAAACCTTTACATGCCTTGTGTACTGGATTATAGGAAACCTGTAAGGATTCAGACATCACAATAGTCACAAACAAACTAGGGGGAACACAAGTAGAATTGCTTTCCTGCCTTTGGACACAGATCATGGGGTGGTCAGAAAAGACTGGAAGTCAATTCAGCTACTTATGTCAGATGCATAGACAAGATGACTTGAGAGCTCTATCTACTGTCCTTTGCTCAAGAATCATGAAAAAAAAAATTTGGCATACCAGAGGTGGGTGTTACACCTACAAATAAACAGTGTTGGATTTCTTGAAAATGTACATTGAATACATCGTGTATCTTTGCTACATGACATTCAATGTATTTGCGGCAGGTTTTAGGCAAAATATAATTTAAAAAACATTTTTTGCCTGCAAAGGATAATTTTAAAACTCACATGCTTAAATCTACTGTCTCAGTCCAAATTATTGCAGAATAGTAACATTGGAAAATAAACCAGTTTTAGGAGGTTCGAATAATGTAACTAAGCAGCTGATACAGTGGCACATGGATCACAAAACAACTTTGTTTACGCTGAAACCAGCCTTCAAGCCTTGTTCCAATGTAGCTTAACATGCAATAGATTGGCATTCTGTTTTATCATAGGTTGCGTTTAAAGCTTCATTTATTTATAAAAATTTGCATGGTCTAGCCTACACAATTATCATTGCAGCACTAAGTCACTCAAAGCTGTCAATCAGGCAGACCAGGACAGAGTTACAGTTGCCTGTCCTCTACTCAGAGGAGAGCTGTAAATAGCCTAGTTAACTAAAAGGCAAGCTGATAGCCACAATATGGTTTCTCGAGTATTTTCACTCATGCTACAGCTGTGTGGAAATAGAAAAATAAAACTAGTTGTCTATGGCACTAAAGTGAGCAGCTGATTTAGCTAATGAGTGTGAAAACTGATAAGTGCAAGAGGGAGTCCTCTTCATATGATGAACTACACAATTGTATCCATTTGCACTAGAGACTGCAACTATTCTAATGCATGTAACATTGCCACATATCTTGATACAGACAAGCAGTTGGTGCTGCATCAGCTAATATTAACCCCTTAAGGACCAAACTTCTGGAATAAAAGGGAATCCTGACATGTCACACGTCATGTGTCCTTAAGGGGTTAAAGCCTGTGACATGCCATATTGGTAATAGAGAGGCCTCTCTTCACAAGAGGATAATCCATAGTCACACATTTACAACCAGCAAACCGCATTTGTCATATTTCTGATAAATATGTGCTCAGTCTGCTGTACCTTGAGGCTATAAACAAGCAAACAGCACATCAAACATAGAAACTCCAGAAAAGGTTAACTGCATTGACTATTTTATTCTCCATTAGAAGAGTGGACCAGACCACCCTGGTCACTAAAAAGGTAGATAATTCAGGTGAGACACCTTATAAAAGGCTGTACACTGTTTCTTCAGGAACTAGAGGTCTAACTTGTTTGTTTTTTGTTGTTGTTTTTTAAAGGCCTAGCGAGCATAAAATAAAATGCTGCTTGGCTTCTGCTGTATGAAGGACATGAGAAAAGAATGAGTGTCACATGCCAATAGAACCTCTTTATAGAATTCCTTTTATTTCCTGTTCCATCTAATTTGTAAAACGGAGCTAACACATGTGTATATGGAACACAGACTATACATACTGCTATGGTTTGCCAGGAAAGGGTTTTTATAACGATTCTAGGGAGCATATGAGAGTCATTCCATACTGGAATATTTTACATCAGTGCAAATTAAAGACTGTTTTTACAGTCTCAGGCAATACATACAGTGAAAAGTTCTCTGTGCATTAAAATAGGCTCTTAAAAGAAATAAAATGTCTGAAATGCCACTCTATAAGCTGCTACAACACTGTTGTGGAAGTGTCTCTTATCTACCGAATGTAGTATATAGTGCAAGTAAGGTGTTTGATAAAGTTGCATACTCCCTCAAAGCCCTTAAGTGGAGCGCTTAACAATATTCACTCACCCTTAAAATTGGGGGTATGTAAAATCCAGTTCACATATATGAAATAAAAATTAAAAAAAAAAGAATCTAATGGTGAAGTACAAATGATACAAGGATTAAACTGTATATAAATATATAGAAAATACACTCACAAATAGAGAGCCAAGTATGGGACTGACTCAAATCACAATCGCTGTGGTGTACTTAGG